CCCTGGATCCCTGGCAGTGCCCAAGGCCAGGCTGGACATTGGGGCTGGAGCAGCCTGGGACACTGGGAGGTGTCCCTGCCATGGCAGGTGGGGTACTGGATGGGTTTTGAGGTCCCTTCCAGCCCCAGGCCATTTTGTGACTCTGTGTCCTGTCCAGGCTGGTTCGTGTGGAGCTGTGGCTGCCTCCATTCCCTGCCCCACCTCCCCCTGCCTGTCCCAGTGCTGGGACCGTGTGAGAGCAGTCACTGGTGTGTCTGTAGCTTGCTGGTGGTACTGGTAATTCTCTGTTGTGAACAAGTTGTGCAGCTGTTACTGAAATGCTGTTCCCTGTTAAGATGTCACAGTGCTCCCATCACCTGGAGCCCACCTGGGAGGACACCTGTGCTGGCACCAGGCTGGTCCTGCAGCTCCCTTCCTGCAGCGCCTGCTCATGCTGAGAACTCATCCATTGCTGACTCTCTGCTCGCTCCCTCGCTCTCTCCAGCACTCGCAGCAGGCTCTGAGCTCCGTGCCAGGATTCTGTACCAAAGCAGCTCTGTCATCTCCTCCCTCTGCACCACCAAGCATCATCCGTCTGCGCTTGGGAACGTGGGACAGCAGCTCCAGCTCTCCTCCCCGCAGCCAGAACTCATCCTGGGCTCTCTCTAATTCAAGTGGAAAAGCTTTTAGATGGTTTAGGAAATGACTAAAGCAGGGAAATATTCCCACACATGGGAAATCAGCCAAGCAGCCAAGTGACAAGACAAGCCCATGTGCTGGGTGTCATCAGGATTACAGAGGGACACGTCCGTGTTGGTGGGAAGAAGATCCTGAAATCTGTGCTGATGGAGATGGGGAACTGGTAAATGGAGATGTGGGGAAGGTCTGTACTGAAGAATTGGAGACTTTTTTGGAGCAGTTTGGTCAAGTGATGCTGACCACAGGCCATTTTAGCTGCTTATTCCTTTAAATGTGTCATTTTTTCCACCCAAACGAGCATGCAGCAACATTCCTCCTGAGAGAGTAACACTGCAGAGAGTTAAACATCATTTTTCTTGCCTCAAAGTACCAAGCACAGGAGGAGCCCTGCCAGACTGGAGCCCTGTGAGCTGGTGGTCAGGTCAGTGCCCAGGAGCTGCTGGGCTTCCTGGAGCCCATCCATCACTCCAAGCTTTGCTAGGACCTTCAGCACTCCTTGAGCCCCAGGAGCTTCCCAAAGCCAGGCTGCCTCCCATTTCATTTAGGCAACAAAGCCATGGCTGCTGGTGAGCTACAGTCTGTCCTTGTTTCAGCAGAGCTGAAGTGCTCTGGCATTACATAAAGCTGTAATTTTCTTTTTTCTTGTTGCTTTTGAGAAGAACCTTATGTTCTGCAGCTAGGAATAGATCAGGGAGCAAAGGGCTGGGTGGTCCTTGATGTATTTTACTGCAGTCAGGTACTGATCATGTCAGAACGGGAATATTGTTGTTTATTCTTGAGGTGATTTCATGAAAGGGCTGGAATGCTCCAGTGGGCTCTTCCCATCCATAGCTGTGAGATGTTCTGTGGCAGAAATAGCCCCGAGTTCCACAAAAATAAACAAGTTGTAAACATGTTTGAAGTGGAAGTGATGTCCTCTCGGCCAGGAGAACAAAGCAGCAGAAGTTGTCTGGAGACCTGCTGAGAGGGGCTCTGAGAGCTGCACATGCCTCGGGGCCCTGAGCCGAGTGAGCAGCCAGAGGCAGCCTGGGTGGAGGAGGAGGAATGAAAGAGGCAGGTTAGGAGAAGGGATCACAAAAAAAGTTTTTTAGCTCCAGCAACTCCTGCAGAGTCTTGAAACAAGAGTTATTGCTTTTTTTCACGTGTTTGTGCAACAAACTAAACATCTGCATGGGAAAGGCAGCGTGTACGGCCGGCATGGGAAGCAGGGAGGAGGATTTAGCTCCTAAATTCATTTCCAAGTACTGTGCTTGCTGGAAGAGTGGGATTGCTGGAGGGAGCTGCAGTGGAAGGTGCAGGTGCCCCTGCAGGTGCTGTGGCACCGTGCCCTGCCCTGCCCAGCAGTGCTCCCTCCCTGCAGGATCACAGCCACTGCTCGAGGGGCACTCAGACCAGCAGGAAGGGCCTCAGGATGCCTTGGGCTATGCACTGATGGAGTTCCCCCAGCTGCTTCTGCTGGGGAAGGGTCCATTCTCACCTTGGAAGACTCTAATTTGAGGCATTTCTTTGTTTCCTGCTTCTGATGGTTTTGGTTCTTAGCAATTTTCTCTGTTTTGTTTCTACTGTGCACCCAACAGGAAGAGCCCCTCGCAAAGCCCTCCCGAGTAAGAAGAAGGAAAAAACCCATCCAGCTGACATTTGCTGCCTGCAGGCAGCAGCCAGAACTTCCCCCCCAGCCTCTCACCACCTCTGCTCTTTTTGTGAGAAGCAAAGCAAACTGGATCCTGCAAGAAAACTGTTTTCCAAAACACCAGAGACCTCGGGATAGCCTGTTCCCTCATGTGCACTGGCATCTCCAGCGAGGCAGGACGCGGGTCTGGCAGTCACATAAGCTCAGGAGGGTGATACTCAAGCAGCAGCTTGAAAAGAAGCACCTGAATTTCATGGGAGGGAGGTGAACCCTCCACACTCATCATCTGGGGTCTGTCAGTGCTGGGGAGCAGCTCAGCTGGGTCCTGAGCTATCCATGGGCTCTTCTTGAGGAAATGTTCTGGAAGGACTTGCAGAGCAGCTCAGTCACCATAGGACCGTGTCCATCCTCTGTGAGCACCTGATGGGCACGGGGTGTTTTCTGTGGCACCAAGGATCCAAAGACACCAAAATCCTGCTCCAAATTAGTGATAACTTCCTAGGCAGAGGCTGGCCTGAGTGTTGGTTCTTCCAGGCTTTTTTCCCTGGTAACTCGGAGAACCCTGTGGTTGCATTCCCCACTGTCACGAGCGGAGCGGGCGCGCAGTTGTGGAGCGATGACAGAGCGACTTGAGGAGCAGTGAGAGCCGTGTTCTTGTGCCATGATTTCATCTCAGAAAGTGCAGTAGCAATTCCTAGTCCTGGAGCCCTGTGCCACTGGATTTTCCTTCCTTCGTGCAGTGGAGAGGACCTGGGTTGGTGGCAGACTCAGTGGCCATCCCATGGTGGCACACCCAGTGCCATGTCTCAGTGGCCATCCCATGCTGGCACACCCAGTGCCATGTCTCAGTGGCCATCCCATGCTGGCACACCCAGTGCCATGTCTCAGTGGCCATCCCATGCTGGCACACCCAGTGCCATGTCACAGTGGCCATCCCATGCTGGCACACCCAGTGCCATGGCCTCTTGCACCTTGAGCCACCCACAGCCACAGTGGTGGGAGAGCTGGTGGCTGTGGGTGGCCACTCTCAGCAGGACAGGCTCAGCCACGTTTTGGCCACCAGCTCGTTGCCCCTCCAAGTCCCACCTTGGCCAGGCTCCTCTTGGAGAAGGGAATTGCTAGGCCATCTCTTTGAAAGAACTGCTGCTTAAAGGGTTAATTTTGGCAGTTTAGGTGTCCTTGGAAGCACCTCCTGTTTGGGGGCAGGAATAGATGGAATATCTGGGAAGTACCAATGGCTGTCAGGTTTGGTAAAGACAGGAAAACTCATTTTTCAGAAGATGGACAGTTTTGATGACAGAAATGCTAAAGGATTGTTTTTAAATAGTGATGATTATTAGCAGAACATTTTGAGGATCTCGTTGATAGCCTGCCTGACAGCATTCCCCGTTTTCCAGCCTCTGGTGAAGTCATGCTTCACTCACTTCTGTATCCCATTTCTCTGTGTGTGTAATCTTCTGACATAATAAAGGTGTTGCCTGTAATTCCAGAGGGAATTAATCAGTGTCTGTTGAATCCAGTGACACAGCTTCTGCAAGGAGTCAAGCCAAGAGTTTGGTCTTGAACAGAGATGGTCCTATTTCCAAGGGGAAAGCATCCATGTCATAAATATCCCCCTGTGGTGGCACCAGAGGACATTGGGGAAGGTTAAATGTTGGTCTGAACTCTTGTAGGGCTGAGGTTCTCCACTTGTGCAGCCACCATTCCCTGAATCCCTTCCCTCTACCCCAGAAGGCCCCAGCTGAGGGGTAAGGACATCCTGGGGGTTGTGCCCTGTCTCACCCATCACTCTGTCATCAGAGGTACTGTCCCTCTCTCAAGGAGAAAACACAAGTCACGATGCTTTTACAAAACTTCTTGTTTTTACAGAGGCATTTGCAATGTGGACAAGGATTTCTGGTGTTTTATCAGGGATGGAGTTTCTAATCTGAATTGGATAGGGAATACCAGTGAGTTGCTAAGCAGAGAAGCAGTAAATGAATCAAACTGATGTTTTAGTACAATAATTGCTTTTAGCTGAAACTGAGAATGACCTGAATCAAACAGTTTGGAAGGACCCAAAAGAGAATGACCTGAATCAAACAGTTTGGAAGGACCCAAAACCTTTTACCAGTGCCTTTACTTGTGCCTTTACCAGTCCAGTAGCTTGACTCAGCTCCAGTTGACAGCTGTGACCTCAGGAGTCAGCACAAGGGGAAAAAGGGATGTAAAGCATGGAAAACAAAATCAATGACACTTCTATACACGGCATGTATGAGCACCTCAAGTGACAGACAGAGGGGGTGGAGGCTGCTCTCAGGCATCATTAACATCCTCAAGTGACAGACAGAGGGGGTGGAGGCTGCTCTCAGGCATCATTAACATCCAGAAATGGCAGCAGCTGTTTCTGGCAGCTCTGGGGGAGCACGAGGCAGGTAAGTGGCCAGCACAGACCCTTGGCACGTGGGGTGCCAGGTGCGATGGACGGGGCAGTGGAGTGGGGGTCAATTGGAAGATCCAGCTCTTGTTGTCCAGACAGATGCAGATCCAGCCTTGAAACACTTCCCAAGGTCTTGGCTCTTCATTTTGTGGCTGTCTCATGCTCGGAATATTCCCAAGGCACTCGCTGTCGTCGGCTGTCGTCTCTGTGTCTCTCGGTTGCCGTTTGTTGCTGTGGTTGCACGTTGATAAGGTCTCTGGTTATGTCTTGCAGCCCTCAGAATCCAAGCCCAACGTCACCCCTCTCACCGTCCTGGCCCATGTTCTCTGCGCCATCAAGTCCTATGCCCACCTCCTCTACGTCCAGCGACTCATCCCCCATCAGGTCTGTTGCACAATTCGCTTGGCTTTTTGTTGCTTTTGCTATTTCTGTTTAATTTCCTCGGTTTCCCCCACTTCACTTCCCTTTCCCTTGGCATCCTGCTCGAACCCTCCCAGCACAGCTGTCTGCATTCAGCAAGAGGGGAGCTTTCAAGCCCTCCTGCCCCAGGAGAGCCCCTTGGAACACCCCGAGCCCCTGGGTCAGGGAGCGGGAGCTGTGCTCGGTGTCCCTGCTGGGCTCAGCTCAGCCCCACGCTGGCTTTGCTCTGCTCTACCACAGGTAAGAAGTGTACTGCCAGGAGTAAAGAGCCTTTGGAAAGCTCTGCCATCCCTGCTTTTCTGGCCACAGAAATCATCTGGGATCCCAGGAGGGTGATGGGCACAGGGTGGCTGCTGTGAGTCCAGGCTGAAGGTCCTTGGGCATCGCTGGAGCCCATCGTTCCTGGGAGCTGCAGACGAAGCAGTGCAGGATTCCCAGCAGCTCCCGGAGCAGTGGGGCAGGCTGAGCTGTGTGCCAGCCCCAGGGTCCCCCTGTGCCCTGGGGTGCCTGCACCAGAGCAGGCGCTGCCCAGGGGTCCCTGTGTGCCTGAAAATACCTTTTGTTTTTCATCTGATGCTCTCAAGTGCGAGTGGTGCCTCCCCGGCAGTGAAGGACCCTCTGGAGCTGGGAGGCTTGTTTGCCCATCCTGGTTTTGAAGTGTTTGGGAGCTGCTCGTGTCAGGCAGCTGGAATTTGGAGAGGAGAGATCTCCATTTTGGGCTCTCTTTGCAGCAAAGCCAAAACCATTCCCAGCTCCTGGGCTTGGAGTTTGGTTTGGAGGGGAACTGCTCTTGCCATGAAGCGTTGCTGCTTCCCTGGGCTCATCTGAGGAACTCGGGGGAACTTCAAGTCCAAGGAAAGATAAAATTGGTAAAACCACTGATCTGAGAATGGTGGCACCTCGTTCTGCACCCCAGCAGCTCCTGGGGCACTTCATCACTTCCCTGGGCTGTGTCAAGCTGAGCAGCAGTGCTGGATGTGGGGGCTGCTCGAGCAGGGCCTGGCTGGGCTGGCTCTGTCACTGTCACCACAGCCTGGCAGTGTCACTAGCCCTGCTCCAGCCCAAAGCTGGGAAGGATGGCTGGGGATTCCAGGTGCAGGGACAGCTCTGTGTGCCTGTGCTGTGTCTGAGGAGCCCTGAGGTCCCTCTTTTTCCTCTCTCTGCCAGCAGTTTGCTCCATTCCTGGTTCTCCCTGCTCTGATTCCCTCCCCTGCAGTGTGGGCTGACACTTCCAGCAAAATCTAATGGCTGTTAAATCTTTTTTACCTTCAGGTACAGGCTCTAAAGAAGTGCAGCAAATTCTTCACTGATTTGCTTGGCTTTCTGTTTTGAAATAACCTTCCCCAAGTGCTAATTCCTCCTTGTGAAATTCTCCTCGTGCTTGCAGCTGCACTTGGATGGCTTTGGCAGAGCGGGGCCGGTGGCAGTGGGTCACTGCCAGCACCTGCTGCCACCTCTGCTCTGTGCCAGCCTCTGGCCAGTGATGGCCCCTCAGATACAGAACATTCCAGCTCCATCCTGGAGCCTGGAGCCGTCCTGGGACCCTCCGGCTGGGGCTGGTGCTGTTTGGGCACCAGTGCGGGCCAGTCCAGGCGGTGCCAGCGGGGCTCAGGCTGGGATTTGTGCTGTGGTCCCCTGGAGCCTTGTGCCTGTGCTGGTGGCCCTGTGCCCACACGTGGCCTCTCTTGCAGCTCCCCTCTGCGCAAGGCCCGCGCGCTCTACGCCTGCAAGGCCGAGCACGACTCCGAGCTCTCCTTCACGGCCGGCACCGTGTTCGACAACGGTGAGTGCTGGGGATTGCTGCTGCTGCTGCTGGGTAGATCACAGGGACACAGCTCGAGGTGTGGTGAAAGGAAGAGAGAGTTTATTTTTTCTCCCAGGATTTATAGGTTTCTGACCATGGCCAGGGGTTGGATGGTCAGGATAACAGTTTCCCACTCCTCTGGCCATGAGAGATGTCCATCACAAGATGTGTGACAGAAGGAATGTATACCTGTCTCTGTGTTTATAGTTACTGTCCTGGGAAAGACTTAGAAAACTATGTCAGCGAGCTCAGGAGCTGAGTTTTCAGGGTGACAGGGGCTCCCCTTGGGCCCTGGGCTCCCCAGAGTTTGCCAAACACGGCCTTTCCCAGGGGCTTCTGCCAAGGGGAGATTGGGATCCGGGTATCAGATCTGGGTGGCTGCTGTGAGGTTTCGTGCAGGAGCTGGGAAAGCCACGAGTGCTTCCTGCTGGGGCAGGTGGGCTTTGCTCAGACACCACCCTAATGAACATGGATTTGGTGTTTCCTGCTCCGAGACTTTGTGCCCTGTGGAACTGAGCAGCTCTGGCTTAGTTATAATCCCAGCATCAGGAAAAGACTTTTTACTACTTTCCAAGTCATTCTTGGCTTTTAAATGCTAAGCATTGTCATTTGGGAAGCTGCTGCCACAGGCACTGGTTTTGCCCTGGGATATAGAGGCGAATACAGCAGCAAGGGGAGGAGGATGAATATGTGTGAATTAAAGACAATCCTCCAAAGCAGCTCTGTAGTCATCTTATAAATAAACATGGTCTCCCCTCTGAGGGCCCGTGGGAATCAGAGCAGCTAGGAGGGGAACAAGTTTGAATTAAATACATTATGTTTGCTGATAAAAATCAATGGATTATTCAAGGGAAAAAGCACACAGCGTGTTCCAGTCACTCGGCTGGCTGAGGACGGGAGGTGGAACCAGCCTGGCTTGGTGGGAGTCCCGCTGCCACCACGGGGCTTTACACAGCCCAGAGGAGGCAAAGGGATCTTGGCAATGCTTGCAGCCAGGTTCTTGTCTGAGCTTCTGTCAGGCTGCAGGTGGCTGAGCAGCGGCTTGATCCGGGTTTGGGGCTGCTCCCACAGCAGAAGTGGCACTTTGGGAGCTCCAGTTGCGCTGGTGCCTCGTGCAGGCGACCCCAGACGTGGAGCAAGGGAGCGAGGCCAGAGCTGCAGAGTCCCAGGGAGCTCCAGGAGCTCTGGGAAAGCAGCTTCCCACCATTATTGTGGGAGGGGGGATATTCCTCTGCCTGCAGGCATAACCCTGGCCTGGCTCCTGCAAAATCAGCAAATTTTTGGAGGTTGATTGAATAAAGAAAAGGCTTTTGAGGACTGATCAGGTTTCTGGTTGTACACAATCAGGTTGCAGGGTTTGCTTTCCTGCTGGGATTGTTCCTTAATGCAATTTCCCTCCAGCCTGGGCCCAGGCCAAGCCGGGATGTGCAGAGTTACCATGTGCTGGAGTTAACCACGTTCTCTCCAACTTCCAAGAGATCTTAGCTCAAATCCAGAGGAAGTTTTGAGCCCCTGTTTTTATCCCAAATACTTCACTTCCTCGGCCCAGCAGCCCCAGGGAGTATTTGCAGCCTGCAGCTCGCTGGGTCCTGCAGTGGGATTGACTTGGTGAGGCCAAGGAGCCCCAGGGGAGCAGGCAGGGACAGAGCATTTCAGCTGCCTGAGCCCCTTGGTGTGTTCACAGAATGGTTTGGGTCAGAGGGGACCTTGAGGATCATCTTTAACTGTTAGTTTCCTTCCATAAGAATCAACACAAGCTGAAGTCTCCCTGTCTCTGCAGTTCACCCATCCCAGGAGCCCGGCTGGCTGGAAGGGACCCTCAACGGCAAGACAGGACTGATCCCCGAGAACTACGTGGAGTTCCTATAACTGTGGGGTGCACAGTGCCACTGCTGAGCGTTCCATGGTATCCATGGGGAGTCCTGCAGGCCCCTGTGCCCTCTGCCACTGTGTGACCGGGGTGAGGACGCCCCTGTGCCCGCTGCTGGATGTTTGTGTGGCTCAGACGTCGCCTCTCCTCCCTGCTGCCTGCGGGGGAGTGGTGCTGGGGATGTGGAGAGACTCCCCCAGCCCCAGGTGGGGGTGCTGAAGCCCCCATCCCAGCGATGGAGAACCAGCCAAGGGACGGCCGAGTGCTGCGAGGAGCTGAGCTGAGGACTGGGAATGGCCCGAGGCTGCAGGGGGACAGTCCCTGGGAGCCCAGGGTCCCCACCCAGCAGGGTCCCACCCAGGAGAGCCCTGTGCTCCCAGAGCCTTCCCTGGCTGTCCCAAGGCCAGCTCAGTGGTGCCAGGGCACACCCTGGGCTCTGGGGCAGGGGAGGGGGCCGAGCTCCCGGGCTGGAGGTGCCCCTGGGCAGCGCTGGCTCTTGCAGGCGAGAGCGAGCCCGGGGGGCTCGGGGCTGGCTGGGCTCTCCAGGCCCTGCTCGCTGCACTGAGGAGGGTTTGGACCAAACCCCTCACGCTCTTTTTTATTTTCAAGGTTTTGATTTTGTGGGGTAACCCTCAGTGTGTGTGAGGTGAGCAGCCCGTGCTGCCGTCCCCTGCAGCCCCAGGCACGCCTCAGTGCTGCTGTTGGGCTGTTTGGTACCTCCCTGCCCCAGTCCCTCTGTACAGACACATCCGTGCTCACACACACAGTGTGCCCTGCTGGAGCTGCCTCTGCCTCCTTCTTCAGGCCTCCCCTTGCTTGCAACCTCGTCTGTGCCAAGTCTGTGCAGTGCTGGTTGTGCCAGGTGAATTATTTCCATCCTTGGGGGGCATTTGCTGCTGCTGTGGCCGGGATGGGGCTGTGGAGAGCCAGGGAGGAGCCCTTGGACTGCTCCAGCCCGGCTCCTGCCTCCCTGGACACGCCACGAGGGCCCAGCAGCGCCAGTGTGCAAACCCCTCATGGCTCCAGGGAGTTTGGAAGGGGCAGAGCTGGGAGAAGGAGCCCTGTTTGACTGCAGAGCCGGGATTCTGAGAGCTGGAATCATATTTTATAAAAAAAAACATCTCAAGAGAACCCCCGGCCCGTGGCGCTGGGGATGGATGTCATGGCTTTTTGTAACAGTTTTAAAGACTCTGAGTGACTGAATTGCTCTATGTGTTGCTTTTTATTTTTGAAAGGATTAATGTATAAATAGAGTATCTTGAAATATTATGAGGAAAAGATCTATATTTGATATTTTTAGAAGAGCTTTGAAGCTGGTGACCAAGAGGCTCCAAACCCCCCGGCCCCTGGCCTGGAGCTGCTGCTTCCTTCAGTCCGTGGTGTCACTTAGAGAGGAGGGAGCTGAAATTTCAGCCCTCTTCACGTTTTTGTCCACAGTAATTAAACTTCCTGGGCTTTTGTCTTGGGGAAAAAAAAAGAGGAAAAAGGCAATCATTTTTTTCCTGCTTTCCAAGGTGGGTGGCACAGCTCATTCCCATGGGATCACACCCTCTCCATAACCCCTGGGGAACACTCTGGGCCCCTCACTCACATGGCTGGTATGGTTTGGGCAGGGGTGATGTCCCCAAACTGCCTCGTGGTCTCTGCTCTGAGGAGTTGGATGAAGAGGGAGAGAGGTTTGTAGGGATAAAATCCGGTGTTTCCCTCGCACGTTGCTGGTTCATCTCCATCCTTGGGTTTTATAGCCAACTTTTGTGCTATTTCTTGGCTTTCCTGAAGCCAAGGATGAGGCTTTATCCAGCCCTGGCATCAGATGGGGTTGGGCTGTATCCAGCCTTGGCTTTCTCCAGCCCTGGCTGCACTCGGTGGCTGGGCCCTGGGGCTGGGGGTGTGCGAGAGCCCCTCCCTGGGCTGGGAGAGAGGTGGGGAGGGCCGAGGGAAAGGGGTTTAAAATCCCTCACTGTGTCCTCTGTCACCTGCCAGCGCTGTTTGTGTTTGTGTTTGTCCTGTCCCGAGGCTCTGCCGGGGCGGAGCAGGGCTGGGGGTGAATGGGAATTGCAGAGGGCCAAGAGGCTCCAAAAGGCTTTGTCTGGGTCAGGCTGTTCAGGATCCTGCTTGTGATGCTGTGTGAGCACCAGCACCGCCGCTCCCACCGTGTCCCCACAGAACCTCCCTGTGCAGGGTCCCCCCGCTCCTCCAGTTACCGAGACTGGAGTAAATTCCTTTTCAGGGGCCCTTGGGAGCTTTTGGATGTGCTACCTAGAGAGTTTCTGGGAACAAAAGTCCCACGCAGATGTATTTACAAGATGTCTCCTGGAGGAAAGGAAATCAAACTGAGGCAGAAGTTATTGCTCTTCCAGGAGAGACAGTGGAATATTTTTTTTTTAATTAAAATTTTCCAAAAAGAAAAACTTGTCTGGAACGCTCACTAAATATTCCCATTTTAGGCCAGCTTTAATACTGTAGTAAACATTGGTTTATTCCAACAGAAATTAAAGATAGGAAATAATATTTTTAAACCAGCCTGACACAACATTTGATGCTTGATATTAAAGTTGTCAGTCAAAATGAAACGAAAGCTGGGTGGTGACGCTGCCAATGGGCAGAGCCTCTCCTGCAGCCCCTGGCTGGTCACTGTGGGCATTAAACCAAAAACAAGAGATGGTGCAGTGGTGTCTGTTGGAACTGACTTCAGAAGAGTCCCTTGGTGCAGCCCTGCCATGTTTCACATCGATGGCCAATGTTCCACAAGTGAGTTCGGTTTGGGTTTGGTGGCAGCTGGACAAATTAGGGTGGGCTGGGTTTGGGGTTGGGCTGGGTTTGGTGTTGGGCTGGGTTTGGGGTTGGGCTGGCTTTGGGGTTGGGCTGGGTTTGGGGTTGGGCTCTCTCTGGTGTTGGGTTGTGGATGGATTAGCTGGGTTGGGTGTTGGATGTTGGATTGGGATGGATTTAGTTTGCGTTGGGCTGGGGTTGGTTTGGATGCTTGAGGCCGTTTGCTCTTGTCCTGTCCCTGGTTGCCTGGAGAAGAGGCCAAAGCCTCGTGGACACCAGTGGAGCCCAGGGATGGATCAGGGGTAGCTGAGGGGAGAATTCACCTGCACAGAGCCAGAGCCTGAGGATGGAGATGTGAGTGCGTGCTGGTTCAACACTCCTAACGAACCAGAAACCTCAAAGCAATTATAGTTTGTGCATTTGGGCTAATTCTGATTTTTAGCTTTTGGGAAATAACAATTAAAAGCAAAGTTTTTTTTAAGAAATAGCTGTTTAAAGCTCTGTTCTCTGGGTGAGGAGCTGATTGTTTGCAGACGGGCTCAGCTGGTAATTTAGCACCATGCTGACAGCTCACGAGGTAGCACCTACCTATTACTTATTGTAAATCCTCCCTTCTGCTAATGAAGCCTATTCTGCTTCTGAACCTCAGACAAAAGGGTCTAGAAAATCACACCTGGGCTCTAAACTCACTGACGCACGCAGGAAGGGGAAAAAGTCCGCGGCAGCCGGGTCACCGGAGACCAGCCTGGCTTGGATTAGGTGGGGATGGCAGAGCCGGCTCTGGAGCTGGGGGTGTGGGGGAGTTGGAGCAATCCCAGCTCCACAGGGACATTTCTGTGTCCCTGCTGTGTCCCCATCTCTCTGGGAGCCCCCCACAGCTGCTCCCCAGGCCCAGCTGTTGCCCTGGGCAATCAGATAATCAAATGTCTGCAGAGTGCTCAGGGCTTTCCTTTGCAGCATCTGGGAGTGAAGAGCAGAGCAGGAGGGACAGGTGGTGGGAGAGGCTCCAGGGATGAGCCCCAGAAGGGCTGGAATGTGGCTGGCAGTGAAGGAACCACCGTGGTGAGCATCTCCCTGCACAGGGGGCTGAAAAGGGCTTAAATCCCATCCAGTGCCCCCCTGCCATGGCAGGGACACCTCCCACTGTCCCAGGTGCTCCCAGCCCTGTCCAGCCTGGCCTTGGGCACTGCCAGGGATCCAGGGGCAGCCACAGCTGCTCTGCCCTCCCTGCCAGGGAACAATTCCTGCCCAATACCCCACCTAACCCTGTCCTCTGGCACTGGGAGCCATTCCCTGTGTCCTGTCCCTCCATGTCCTTGTCCAAAGCCCCTCCCCACGATCACACAGGTAAGTGCCCATCTCCAGCCGATGGCACCGTGTCCCACTGTCCTGGCAGCCAGGAGCTTTCCCACAGCTGCCCTGCTCTTGTGCAAACCAGCTCGCCCTGACCCGGATCACCACAGCCAGCCACAGCCCCTGGCACCGTGGGGACACCTCGGTGCCACCCAGGGATGGAGCAGCCCTGTCTGCCCTCCCCTTCCCAGTCCCAGAGATCCTGGAGATGGATTGTTCCTTCCTAAAGCTCATTAATTTTGCTGCAGCCATTATCTATCAGAAATATTTCTGACTCTGGGATATGCATGTGCTGCTTTTGCCCCTGTTTTACTGCTGGTTATTTTTTGCCAAGTTTGGGTTTGGCTGGGCTTTTAGTTCAGTGCCACAATGTAGTTTCTGTGCAGTTTTGGTTGAGTTTTGCTGCCGTGTGTGGCACCTGGAGCGCTGCAGAAGCGATGACTCCACGCCATCCCCATCGTGCTGCTGTTTATTATTTATTTCCCCAGCAACGGGGATATATTTAGCCCTGGAGCTTTGAGCTGTTTCAGCCCCATTATGCTCAGCAAATGCAGCAGCCTGGGGCAGAGAGCCCTGGCCAGGGCCAGCAGGAGCCCCCCAGGACCCCAGGGGACACCCCCAGCCTGTCCCTGCCCCACAGAGGGGCTGCGGGAGGGGAGGGTGAGAGAGCCACATCCCTCGGCTTCCCTCGGACTTGCCAAGGGTTGGGTTGGGCTGGGTGGATTTTTTTAAATTATTTTTAGTAATTGCTGTGTTTGAGGCTTGCAGGCCAGTGCTGTTTGTTTGGGGTGGGAACACGTGCGGCTCAGCTGGGGAAACGCTGCCTGCGAGCCAAAAAGGGTAAAAAAGGAAACGGTGGGAGAGAAAGGAGGAATTAAAAATGCTGGGTTTTAATTCTGGATTTGCTCTTGCAGGAGTCCA